GGCGACGGCCCAGCATCTAAAGCAGGAGTACGCCAACCTCAAGTTCAAGGATGGTTAAATGGTGGAGGATTTCTCCCTTCGTCTGTAGACGCTCATCAGCAAGCTGAAGAGTCATGACATCACCATCGATGAAGACGAGGCGGTCTCCAAGTACCTCCACTCTGTGCCAGTAAAGTACATCTAGATCTCTCTCTCCATAGAGACGATGCTGGACTTGTCCACCCTCACCATTGAGGATGTGACAGGCCATCTGTGGGCACTGGACGAGCGCTTAGAGCAGGCGACAACAACGAAGGATAGCGGCAAACTACTGCTAATAGAGGAGGAGTGGGCTGCTCGGAGGAACTCTGGGGTAGCCTCCTCCAGCCGCGGTGGCGATGGCAAGCGCCGCGGCAAGGCTTCTTTGGAGAAGAAGAAGCAGGTCAACCCCAACGCCTGCCAGCGCTGCGGGAAGACGGGCCATTGGGCACGGGAGTGCCCAAATTGCAAGCAGGAGAAGAAGGCTGAAGCTCATCTGGCGCAAGCTGATGATGATGATGAGGCCACTATCCTGATGGTGATGTTCTTCTATGCACTGCACTACGTCTAGGCCGAGGAGAAGGGAGAGGTGATGATGGTGGAAGGACCTAGAAAGGCCCTGAAGGCTATCAACCTCGACAAACTGTGTGCCCAAGTCCACCTCGGACGTATGGGCGCCGAGCAGGAGCTGCAGTGGTATCTGGACTCTAGTGCCAGCAGCCACATGACGGGCTCCAAGGCATCCTTCTCTGAGCTCGATGATGATGTTACCGATACGGTGAAGTTTGGTGACGACTCAAGGGTGGCTATCTGAGGGCGCGGCACAATCATCTTCAGGTGCTAGAACGGGGAGCACCACGCGCTAATGGATGTATATTACATCCCGTAGCTGCGTTCAAGCATCATCGGCATTGGTCAGCTGGATGAGCGCGGTACTGAGGTACTGATCAAGGATGGAGTCCTCAGGATCAGGGAGCGGGAACAGCGACTTCTTGACAAGGTGAAGAGGTCTCTGAACCGATTGTACCTGCTAGACCTAAAGGTAGAGCAGCCGGTGTGCCTGATGGCAAGGCACACCGAGGAGCCATGGCTGTGGCATGCTCGGTTCGGACATCTCAGCTTCGACACACTTGGTCGGCTAGAGAAGATGTTCGAGGGCTACCCCACATCGAGCACGGAGGCGAGCTATATGACAGCTACCTAGCCGGGAAGCAGAGGAGGCTACAATTCCCAAAGGCGGCCAAGTATCACGCGGAGGACGCTCTCGAGCTCATCCATGGCTACCTCTGCGGGCTGATCACGCCAGCCACAAACGGTGGTCGGTGGTACTTCCTCCTGCTCATGGATGATTGCAGTCGCTACATGTGGCTACAACTCCTAATGAGCAAGGACGAAGCGGTGGCGGCGATCAAGAAGTTTAAAATGCACGCGGAGGCTGAGAGTGGCAAGAAGCTCCGTGTGCTGAGGACTGATCGCGACGGCGAATTCACTTCGGTGGAGTTTGTTGCGTACTACGCAGATCAGGGTGTGGTGTGACACCACACCACGCCATACTCGCCACAATAGAATGGCATGGTGGAGCGACGAAACCAGATGGTGGTCGGCATGGCTCGATCCATGATAAAGGCCAACGGCATACCAGCAAGGTTCTAGGGTGAGGCGGTGACCACGGTGGTGTTCATCCTCAACCGCGCTTCCACCAAGGCCCTGAAGGGCAAGACACCTTTTGAATCTTGGTATAGGCACAAGCCGAGCGTGTCCTTCCTCGAGACATTTAGCTGCATCGGCCACGTTAGGAAGACGAAGCCAATCCTCACCAAGCTAGAGGACAGGAGCACACCGATGGTGTTCCTAGGCTATGTAGAGGGTACCAAGGCGTATCGGCTCTATGACCCACGTGGAGACAAGGTACTTGTCTCGCACGACATCATGTTCAATGAGAAGGCAGCTTGAGACTGGAATAGTCCGAGCATGGGGGTAGCTGGCGGCTTCACCAGCACCTTCGTCGTTGAGCACCTGGTCATCCACGATGGTGGAGATGCTGGGGAAGAGGTGCCAAGCACTTTGGGAGGGGTGCCGAGAACTCCAGCAATAGAGCCGAGCACTCCTGGGGTGGTGCTGAGCACTTCGGGAGGGATGCCGAGCACTCAGGGAGGTGTGTCGAACACTCCTAGAGGGATGCCGAGCACACCAGGAGTGGTGCCGGGAGGTTCTGCAGTTGGGGCACCACTCCAGGACGGATGCCAAGCACTCCTGTAGTAGAGCCAAATGGTCTTGTAGTGGTGCCGACCACTCCAAGACTGAGGCTCAGCACTCCTACATTGGTGCTGAGCACTGCAGGAGCTATGATGAACAGTCCAGGAGTAGTGCCAAGCACTCCGGGTGCTATGCCGAGCACTCTGGTGGAATAGAGAACTCCATCGATGCCGATCGAGTTCGCCTCACCTCCAAGTGACATCACTGAGTTTGTGGATGCCTTCCATGAAGGTGAGGAGGTGTGGTTTTGCAGGCTGGATGACATCATCGGTGACACAGGGCCCTCAGGCCTGGCTGGTCGGCTGCTCAATGACCAAGAGCTGCTGCTTGTCAGTGCAGAGGAACCACCCACGTTCGCACTGGTCGAGTGCGATGGAAACTAGCGATGGGTGATGCTGGAGGAGACAAAGGCGATCGAGGAAAATGAGACATGGGAGCTCGTTGATCCACCTCCAGGATGCCGTACGATCAGCCTGAAGTGGGTGTACAAGGTCAAGCGGGACGAGCTCGGTGCCATTGTCAAGTACAAGGCGCGTCTCGTCGCCCGAGGCTTTGTTCAGTGCGAGGGCATTGACTTTGAGGAAGTCTTTGCGCTAGTAGCGCGTATGGAGTCTGTCCATTTGGTACTAGCCTTGGCAGCAGCAAAGGACTGGCGCGTCCATCACTTGGACGTTAAATCGGCCTTCCTCAACGGCGAGCTGGCGGAGACGGTCTTCGTTAGGCAACCTCTAGGTTTCGCCGTCAAGGGAGCGGTGCACAGGGTGCTCCGACTGCACAAGGCCCTCTACGGGCTGCGGAAGGCCCCACAAGCGTGGAACGCCAAGCTTGACACCACGCTGGGTGAGCTTGGGTTCTAGCGGTGTGCAACCGAGCACGCGCTCTACATGCAGCGATGGGGGAAGGAGGAGCTCGTCGTTGGTGTGTATGTGGATGACTTGATCGTCATGGACGCGTGTGCAGAGGACATCAACAGCTTCAAGCGCGAGATGGCGGCTCGTTTCTAAATGAGCGATCTTGGCACACTCTCCTACTACCTCAGCATAGAGGTGAGACAGGGGAAAGAGGAACTCACGCTCGATCAGAGCGCGTATGCCTCAAAGCTGCTGGAGCGGAGCGGCATGGCTGTGTGCAAGCCATGCATGACTCCGATGGAGGAGAGGCTGAAGCGGACGATGGCCAGCACCACGGCAAAGGTGGATGCAACACTCTACCGGAGCATCGTCGACGGTCTACACTACCTAGTCCACACGAGGCCGGGCATTGCGTTCGCCGTGGACTACGTCAATCGCTTCATGGAGGATCCTAGAGAGGATCACTGGGCTGCGGTGAAGCAGCTACTGCGCTACGTCAAGGGGACGGTGGATCAGGGGATCATCTTCCCCAAGACTGGCGGGAGTAGGCTGCAACTCACTGTGTTCAGCGATGCATACATGGCGGGAGACATCGACGGACGATGGAGCACCTCTGGCGTGCTCGTCTTCCTGGGGTCAGCTTCAATTTCATGGCTTTCACTGAAACAAAAGGTGGTGGCGCTGTCTACGTGCGAGGCAGAATACATAGCGGCGGCCACAGCGGCGTGACAAGTGTGTGGCTGCGCCGGCTACTGGACTAGCTGACCGGTGCGGAAGCTCACCCACCAGCACTGATGGTGGACAACTGGCTCGCCATCGCCCTTGCGAAGAATCCGGTTCTCTACGACCGGAGCAAGCACATCGACGTGAAGTTCTACTTCCTCAGGGACTGTGTCGATGAAGGGTAGATCGTCATCGAGTTTGTCAAAACTGGTCGGCAACTCGAGGACGTCCTCACCAAGCCGCTCAGAGGTCTTCGACTCACGGAGCTGAAGGAGATGATCGACATGAAGGGGGTATAAGGAATAGCAGTAGGATTAGGGGGAAAATTGTTAGATAATCTACTGCTTCCTTGTGTGAACACATAGCAAGGGAAGGCAGCGTCGAAAAGGCTCCCTGCTGTGGTACTGTAGCCATAGCAGGGACGGGCGTAGAAGTTAGTCATGCTGTGTTATCTAGTCACTGTAGCAGCATGACAGTTGTACTAAGACTAGATTGATAGAGTTATATATATAGTTTGCCACTGCGACTCAATAAAGAGAGTTCAGATTTGTCATACAGGGTTCCGGCCAACGCTGATGCTTGTACTGTGTGTGTATTCTCTGTTCTCCGTCTCTTCTTCTACCTCTGACCATAGTGTGTGGTCGGACAATGTCTGTCGTGCTCGGTCGTTGTCGACAAAACTGGTGAGTGGTCGACTCACCTAAGCCGGTGATCCTGTGGGCTAACAATGCATACATATCCTTTCTAATGGGGCTGCCTTACATTTTAGCGAACCAGAGGGTATCAGTATTAATTTCGTTGCTTCTTGATACCGCGCTTAGAGGCTAATACTAACTTATATGATAGCACTATGTAGAGTCATCAGAGTCCTCGAGGAATAATTTTGTATAGGCGGAAAATCAGATGATGCACCAATTGTGTTTCCAGGCACGGGCATGCAAGCACGCATTGCGTGACCATCCCACACCATTCATGGAGATAGCGCTGCAACCACCAGCCGGACACTAACTGACTTGCGTTTGCTTGTAGTTATATCTATCTTGCTGATCCATGTATAAATTGCTCAAGGCCAGAGCCTATTTCATATGTGCTCAACTGTTCATCGATATATCGCCATATCGGACGAGAGTTTGTAGAATCGTCGTCGTCGAGATGAATGCCAGCAAGTTGACGCCGATTCTGCTGGCCACACTCTTGGCATGCCTCGCGTTCTCTGCAAACTGTACGGGTGCAGTCAGTGCAGACACGTACATTTATATCCTCAGTCTTTCGATCTTCTTACCTCTGATTATAGGAAACCCTTCCGGTGCAGGCGAACGTGGTGACGAGGACACACCAGAAACAGCTGGTCACCGGCGGTGGCAGCCAAACGGCGACACGACGATGATTGGGAGGAGCAGCAGCAGGAGGATGGACGTGGTGGCGGGCAGGTGCGAGAGGAGTGTATGCGAGGGCAGCCCCTGTTACTGCTGTCCATCGCAGGCCACTAGGCCTTGCTTCTTGGAACTGGATGCTTGCTTGAGAGTCTGCGGCACCACCGGTCGTCGTCGGCCAGCCACAACGCTGCCGCCGGAGGTACCGCCATCTGCGCGCGGGTCGGGACCAAGCAGGTTCCTCTGATCCAGAGTAGCTAGCTGGGGGCGGCCTCGCCATCGACCCCCACGTCTCAGTTATCGGTGATGGATGTCTTAGCCTGTGACTATATTGATGACAAGACGAGAGAACATGTATGCGCCCCCCTAGACTCTGCCACGAACACGTATCACGCCTAAACTGAAGTTTCTACATCTATATCTATCTATCTATATCTATTTATCTATATACTCTATTACTATAAAGGATCCTAAGGAATTGGAAATATATTGTCATTGTCAAAAAAAAAACCTTCTACCCACCTTATATTCACAAGTGAACCCATGCGAGAAGAACGGTGGGAACATATAAACACCTGTGTTTCACGTTGCCGGTGACTCGTAGTCGGGGTTTTTTTCCACCCACGCGAGCCTACCTGCCCGCCCTGTACCCGCTCCGAAATCTCGCGCTCACATGCGCTGCCGCGGCCGCCCTGTCATGCGGGAGTTACGCAAGCGGCAATGGGGCGTCTGCCCACGGCTTGCGTAGCCCTCTCCCGCTCTCATGTATCCAGCGCAAGAGTCGCCTCCCTCTCCACCCTGATCGCCGCGCGATCGCGCGCCCCAGAGGCCAGACCGTCGCTCGTCAAGGGGAACATGCTGGAATCGCCGGCGTCGAGGCGAGAGGCCATGGCGTCCGCATGCACCTGGCCTCGTATGATCTGGACGCCCAGGATTGGTTTCACGTAGGATCTTTGTTGCGCGGTGAGTGCCCTAGGGATTGGGCTTTCATTTGGTCTTATCTTATTTTACTGTGCTTTGACTCGGCATCTGCCCGTGTTCGAAGGAACTTTGCAAAGCTACCGGTGGGCGTTGTGTGTGCGTAGCCAACATGCATTTCAAAGGGAGAGGTGCGTGTGATTAGGGGCTTGCTTGTTGCTGTTTTACTCCTAATGAATCTGCAACTTTGATTACAAAGTTCTCGAGTTTTATTTCAGGCAAGATAGATGCTCTGTTGTACTTTTGCTATCATTGATAAACTGATGCAACTATCTGCTGAATGTTGTGCAATCTTTAAGATCAATTGCTTGAAAAATGCGGTCTGAGTGAAAACAAATAGAATCTGACTCTAGTGTGACACCTCATCAAAATAACTGTTTCCTATCACAGTTCAGATTTAAGTTTTGAGTCATTAATCAATGTAGTGGTAGCAATCTATATATATATATATAATGAAAGACCAACAAAGTTGTAGGTGCTTATCTAGAGATATTGTATCATGATAATAATTTATTTATGTGCCCAGAGGCTTACACCTGTACTAACACTATGCCAGATTTACACATCACTGTCGGCCTCATCACTACCGGATTTGTGAGAACCGGCAGTGATGTACCTTCACTGTCGGTTATGAGCTTCAAAATAAAAAAATGATTAGGGCTGGGCTAAAACCAGCAGTGAAGGACCACATCACTGCCGGTTTATGGATTGAACCGGCAGTGTTTTGGTGGCCACTCATCACTGCCGGTTTAAGCCAAGAGCCGACACTGATTTGGCTCTATCACTGTCGGTTCTAGCCAAGAACCGACGGTGATAAGCTTACAACACAAAAAGGCTGCAATCGTCCTCTCCTTCCTCCTCTCTTCCATCCCGAGAACAGAGGCACGCGTTTGGGCCCTTCCCTCCATTGTTGCGGCTGCTCTTCACCATGAAGCTAGTGCTTGGATTTTGAAGAATGGCTTGATCTTTTTGCTTTAAGGTTAGTAACAATCATCCACTCCTTTGATTTTGTTGCTTAATTAGCTTCGTTTTGAGGGCTACATTACTTGATTCTCATTCTAGTTCTTTCTCCATTCTAGATAGCACTTTTCCAATTGGACATTTGTGCAAGGCCCAAATTATGGTGAATCCATCATCCAAACGGTTGGTGTCTATGTACACATTTAAATTCCTAGCTAATTATTCCATGGTGGTCAAGATCATCATTGTTAGTATGTGATGCTATAATTAGTTCTTAGAAGTAGAGTAGAATAGATGTTCTTCATTATTGTGCAATAATTGTTTTTTACTACGATTTTCAATTTACAGGGTCGGGGCTACCAATTTCAATTTTTTAATAATTAGTGTATAATAATGTTTTTCAAAAATGGTACTTTCGAGCTATAATTGTTGTTCATGAAGCTTGATTTTCTTATTAATTCTTTGTAATTACTATCTCAGTACTTTTTTGTTCAGAGATGGATCGAGAGTGGATGCATCTGTCCCGAACGCACAAACGGTACATGCATGGCGTCAGCCAGTTTATCACCGATGCCAAAGCCCATGCTGGGAATGGAAACCATGTCTTCTGCCCATGCAAAGATTGCAAGAATCAAAGGAACTTTCATCAAATTGAGTCTATACGATCGTACTTGATTACCAGAGGGTTCATGCCAAACTATACAATATGGACTATGCATGATGAGCTTGGTGTGAATGTTCTGCAGGAAAATGATAATGATGTGGACATGCCTGACGTAGCCATCCACGATGCTGACGAGGAACCCGGTGTCAATACGGAATCTATGGCCACAGTTAATAATGTGTTTAGGAACACGCTAGCTGATGACACTGAGGATAACGATGGCATTTCTCAGCTGCTACGTAATGTAGAGACCGGATGTCTTAGTGAAAGACAGCTGAGAAAGCTAGAGAAAATGAGGCAAGATGGCAAAACACCATTGTATAGGAATTGTCCAATGAGCAAACTGGAAGCCGACATCATGCTGTTAAATTTCAAATTGACAAACGGATTGAGCGATAAAGGCTTCGATCAGCTGTTAGGTATAATAAAGAAAATGCTCCTAGAAAAAAACGAGTTGCCAGAAAAGACATACTTGGCCAAGCAAATGATCTGCCCCATCGGTCTCGAGGTTGAAAAAATCCACGCGTGTTCCAATGATTGCATATTGTACCATGGAGAAAAATACAAAGACTTGGACAAGTGCCCCAAGTGTGAAGCTCCATGGCACAAGAAAGGGCCGTCAAATAAGGGTACCAAGACCAGAGAAGATCCCATAAAGGTCATTTGGTATTTCCCTATAGCTCCCCAGGTGCATAGGCGGTTTGCATGTGCAAAGTCAGCCAAGCTGTTGCGCTGGCATGACGAAGAGCGTAATAAAGATACAATGATGAGGCACCCCGCTGATGGGCATGACTAGAGGACTATCAATGCTATATTCTATAAGGACATCAGTGGAGAGGTAAGGCACCTTTGGTTTGCTTTGAGAACAGATGGGATGAATCCTTTCGACCAGGTTAGAAGCAATCATAGCACCTGGCCAGTGATGCTCTATATATACAACCTTCCACCTTGGGTCTGTATGAAGCGGTCGTACATCCAGATGCCACTATTGATCCAAGGGCCAAGACAACCTGGGAATGACATCGATGTGTTTCTAGAACCAGTGATCGATGAACTAGTGGAGATATTTGAAAAGGGTGTGCCGGATGTTTGGGATGAGTATAAAAAGGAACATGTCACGATCAAGGGAGTACTTATCACTACAATCACCGACTTGCCAGGTCGAGGTTCATTGTCCGGAGAGAAGACAAAAGGCTATACTGGATGTGCCGAGTGCTTGGACGACACCGATGCGGTAAATCTGCCAAATAACTCAAAGATAGTTTATATGGGACACCGTAGGTTCCTACCTAAGGATCACCCTTACCATAGGAATAGAAAAGATTTCAAAGGTACTATGGAGAAACGCTTAGCTCCAAAATATCGAGACGGGCCTACGATACTTTGAGAACTCAACAAAATGGAGGTTGTCCTTGGGAAGGGGGACAATGCAGTAGCAGCGCCTAATGGGAGCATTTGGAAGAAAAAATCGGTTTTCTAGAAACTACCTTACTGGCCATTTCTGAGTGTACGCCACTGTCTTGATCCCATGCACATCACTAAAAACATGTGCGCTAACACTCTTAACACCTTGATGGACACCAGTGGGACATCGAAGGATTCACTAGCCATATGCCTAGACATGCAACACTTGGGAATCAGGAAGGAGCTGCATCCCGTAGAGCTAGAGAATGGCCAGTTCAAACTTCCGGTTGCATCATGGACATTGAAGAAGGAAGAAAAGCGTGCGCTTATTTCTTTCTTCAATGAACTCAAAGTCCCGATGGGCTACTATGCGAACCCAAAGAGGCTAGTGAACATGAGAGAACTCAAGTGCAACTATGGCCCTATGAAGGCCCATGACTATCATGTCATTATGACTCACCGCTCCTCGCTGTCCCTCGCTGTGGTATCCTCCCCAAAAGTTCCGCACCCCCCAATCATAAAGCTTTGCTTTCGTTCTTCAACGCGATCTCAAAAAGGTCATTGATGTGTCCATGCTAGGGCAGCTCACAATGGACATAGCCAAAACTCTCAAGTAGGCTTGGGATGCATTTCCCCAATCGACTTACTTTGATATCTCATTGCATCCGCCATTCATCTTGTTGACCAAATTAGAGCCATTGGCCCAATGTACGTGCATTAGATGTTCCCTTTCGAAAGATTGATGAAAGTTTTCACGAGGTATGTTAGGAACAGATTCAGGCCAGAAAGGGGCATGGTTGAAGGATGGTCAACGAAGAAGGCCATTGAGTTCTGCACATATTATCTGGACATCAAAAGGGTCGGAGTTCCAGAATCTCGTCACGAGGGAAGACTACGTGGCAAAGGAACGATCGGGAAAAATCACATTACAGAGATGACCCTGCTTTTTTCGGGACATGTATAGTTCGCTATTCTCTAGCAAGCCGAGGGTGTGATGCCATACATTGATGAGCATAGGCAATCGCTGCAAACTCTGTATCCAAGCAGGTCACGGGCTTGGCTGGATAAAAAACATAAGGCGGAATTTGTCAACTGGTTGCGACGTTGCTTGCTTGGAATAAAGTTGGGTAATCAACTGGATGCCTTAGCCAAGGGACCTTCGAGTACATATCTTAAGTACCAAGGGTATGAGATCAATGGATTCACATTTTACACAAAAAAGCAAGATAGAAAGAGCACAT